TGACCCCCAATTTCATTGTTACAAATTGAACATTATTAAAGCATAGTGATTAATCACAAAAGCAATATATTATATATTGTTTTTATATATGTGTTTTCTGATGGTCTTAGGTGACCCCTGTGAAAGGGTCGTTTGACCCCCAAAGGGGTTGTGACCCACAGGTTGAAACCACTGACATAGATTGACTTGGAGAGCATTATGCTTAGGGAAATAAGCCAGTCAGAGAAAGAAAAATATCACATGATATCACTCATATGTGGAATCTAAGGACAAAATAAACTGATAAACAAAATAGATTCAGAGACATGGAAGCATGTAACACACTGTTGAACCTCTTGGGTGGGTGAAAAGAGACCAACCAAAGAACTCGTATGCATATATGCATAACCCACGGACACTGACACTAGAGTAGTAAAGGTCTGGGGCAGAGGGTGGGGGACAGGCTAGAAGAGGTCAATGGGGGGTGGGGGAGTGTACATATGTAAAATTTTCAACAATAAAGATTTAAAAAAAATTTTTTTAAGAAAACATATTTGATAAACTTGAATAAAGCTGCTTTCCTAGTTATGTTTCATGATACAGTATATACAATATCTTATACATATGAATATATATACAATATATAGTGTACTTAATATATAAATATTATTTAGATTATATATGTATAATATACTTTGAGGGAAATACAAGAAATATAAAAAGGAAAAGAAACAATATGTGACCACATAGAGTATACTATTATTAGCATTTATGTAATTCCTTATATCTATTACATATATTAACTTTAGATTTCTTTTTACTAAGGTATAACATATATAAAGTACATTAATTATAAATGAATATTTACACATGTTCATAACTAGACAACCATTCATATAAGATAGAGAACATTTTCTGCATCCCAGAATTCAATTTTAGCATTCCCCTTTCTACTCAATAACGCACTCCCCTGCATATGTGCATATACACACACACCCTACGTATCTTATCATTTTAATTTTAGAATCCCATAACCCAAAATTTTAGTTTTATCTCTTCTTGAACTTTATGTAAATGGAATCCTACAGTCTATACTGTTTTGCCCAATACAATGTTTGTGGGATTTATTCATTTTGTGTATACCACTAGTTCATTCTTTCTTATTGTTGAGTAATATTCAACCATTTTCAGCTGTTTGGGGTTTGGAACTATTAGGAAAAAGTGTTTATAAACACTATTTTATATAGACACTAGAGGCCTGTTGCATGAAAAGATTCATGCAATAGGCTTTCCCTTCCCCTGGCTGCTGGCACTGGTTTTCCTCTGGCACCCGGGACCCAGGCCTTTGCTCCAGCCGGAGCCGTCTTCAAGCCTTCGCTGCTCCGCCGGAGCCACCTTCAGTCTTCGCTCAGCTGCTTTGCGCCTACGTATGCAAATTAACTGCCACCTTTGTTGGCGGTTAATTTGCATATTGCTGATTAATCAATGGTGGGCATAGTGAAGGTATGATCAATTTGCATCTTTTTCTATTATTAGAAAGGATATCTTTGATCAACATTCTTTGAGGTACACACTAGGAATAATTGCTGGGTCATAGTATGCGCACAAATTTAGCTTAATAGAAATGGTCAAACATTTTCCAAAGCCATTTTACCATTTTACACTTCCCTCAGCAATGAGAGTCAATTGCCATGTTTACATGTCCTTTCAGTTTTAACCATTCTCATGGCTGTGTGGTGGCAATGTATTCGTCTCTTTTTATTCTTTGAAATGTTGCTTATAGCTCTGGGAAGAATTCTTGACACAGTCTTCTCTTTCATTGCTTCTCTTTGTCAGATTTTTACTAGCCAACAGGAATTTTATTTCACTTTATGTCATTTTCCCTCCTCACAGAGCCCTCTGAAGATTCACAGTGTCCTCTTCAATTGGATTCACATCATGAAAACAGAGTCTCTAAGTTTTATATTTTTTCAGTACATTAATTTTCAAAGTAGGCATTTCTTGTGATCCTTTTATTTTCAAATTCAGTATCCTTCCTATAGCTCATTTTTCTTTCATCCTTATGAAAATAGATTGATATTTATTCAGGTAAATAAATGTATATTAGATCAATGCCTGGTAAAAAGTAAGACCTCAATTACTATTAGCTATCAAAACAGTAGCTGGAATGAAAATCATTAAGAATCTCTGAAATAACTGGGTCCATAGGTATTTCTTTTTCTTATAATTTCCCCTGCCTTTTTTTTTGTTTAAAACTCTGTGTGTTAGAGAAAAAACATTCTTCCCTAATTTCATTATTTTTATTTTATTTCTAGTGAGTCTATCATTCCAAATCTGAATGTACGGTATAGCAATCTACAATCAGTAGTTCACCTCTAAGTGATTTGCATATGGCAGGTCCTGATTGATGAAATGTCACCTGAGTTGTCCTCTTGAAGCTCTTCTCCCCTCCCATCCCCTCCCCTCCCCTCCCCTCCTCTCCTCTCCTCTCCTCTCCTCTCCTCTCCTTTCCTCTCTTCTCCTCCCTTCTCCTCTCCTCTCCTCTCCCCTCTCCTCTCTCTCTTGTCCTCTAGGTCCAAATGATTGGTAGGGGATATGATTAACATCATCTGCTTCCAAACAGTTTAATTTCCTTTTTATCTTGAAGAATTCCGTGTGTCCACGTGAGTGAGGCTGGTGGGGAGTGTGGTAAGCTTAAGAAGTGCTTTGCCTTAATCACCAGAGAAATGCCGCAGCCTCACATGAATCGCAGCCACCATGACAGTCCACAGCTCCCACCTGACTCCTAGCTCTCTAGGGACACATGCCTAGAACTTTATTCCCAATGCCCCATGATGCTCTATTTTTTTTTTTTTACCTTTAGTTTCAGAAGTTTAATTATATGTGTCTTGGTGTGGATTTATTTGGGCTTACCCTATTTGGGTTCACTTAGTTTGTTGAATCTGCATGTGTAGATACTCATTTCACTATTTCTGGGGGAACAGGACTAGCCTTGCTTCTCTCTCCTTGCTCAGTCTCTTTGCTGCTAGGCAGCTGTGGAGGTTCAGCATCCAGCCCATACCAAGGGTGAGGGAAAGTGGAGTGCTGACTAGCTCAGTCTCATTGATGCTGGGTGAGGATGGAAGTTAAACTCCTCATTGAGCTCTTCTATCACACTGGTAAAGAACAGAATTCTTACTAGATAATTTTGGCTTATGATGAGGGTCTGGGTTCTCTCCCACTACTTGATCCCATTGTTCCATGCTACTGCTTTTCAATAACTTTCAGATTGCTAAATAAACAGTTAAAATCCATTCATCTAATGATGGGCACTTGGGCTATTTCTAGCTCTTAATTATGTAGATAAGTGGATAATAAAGATGTACATTTACATAATGGAATACTATGAAGCTATAAAAAAGGAGGAACTCTTACCATTTGCAACAGCATGGAGGGACCTGGAGATCATTATGCTAAGCAAAAAGAACTAATCAGGGAAAGACATGATCTCACTTATATGTGGAATTTAATGAACAAAATAAACTGATGAACAAAATAGATCC